TCTGTGAGCCCACTTCAAACAGCGCCCTGTCTGTGGCTTTCTGCAGTTTATAGGAGAGCCAGGCATTCTGTCCAGAGTCCACATCCACAGCCACCACTTTAGTGACCAGATAGCCCACATCTGCTGAACGAGGCACCATCTCAGCCACCAGAGAGCCACCAGTCTGGACTGGGTACAGAACCTGAGGGGGGTTGTCGTTCTGGTCCAGGATATTTAATTTCACGGTCGTATTAGTGCTTAAAGGTGGGGAACCGCCATCCTGTCCTTTTACTAGAATGTTTATAGTTTTAATTTGCTCATAGTCAAATGATCGCACTGCTTGTATAACTCCAGTTTCCGCGTTGACTGATATGTAAGTGGATATGGGGTTACCGTTCAACTGAGTGTCAATAAGCAGGTAAGAGACACGTGCGTTCTGCCCCGAGTCAAAGTCGTGCGCTTTTACGGAAAACACCGAAAATCCTGGTGAGTTATTTTCGATAATATTAGCTTCATAATAACTCTGTTCAAAAACAGGGGCGTTATCATTGACGTCAGAGACTCTAAGTGTTATGGCCTTGTTAGTTGAGAGTGGTGGGCTTCCGTCATCCACAGCTGTGAAAGTTATATTGTACTCAGGATTACGCTCCCTGTCAAGTGCACCGCTTGTTACCAGAGTGTAGTAATTCTTTAGAGATGACTGGATGGTGAACGGTATATTGTTCTCAACTGAGCAGCTCACTTTGCCATTTTTGCTTGAATCTACATCTTTCACGTTAATGATTGCTACAGTGGTTCCACTCGGGGAATTTTCAGCGATGGCATTTGAAAACGAGGTGAGTGTTATTACCGGCGCATTGTCATTTACATCCGTCACTTCAATTATAACATTTGTTGATGTGCTTTGTCCACCTTGATCTTTCGCCAGCACACCGATCTCAAATATTTTATTCTCTTCATAATCAATTACACCGTTTACTGTCAAATCACCGCTGTTCTCATCCAGGAGAAATAGCTCCGCAACATTACTAGACATGCGATTAAAGTGATACGTGACACGACCGTTCATCCCTTCATCTGCATCTGTTGCGCTCAAACTCACCACTAAGGTTCCCTTTGGCACATTTTCTTTAACAGACGCCTTGAAAATTGCCTGCGTAAAAACCGGGGCATTGTCATTTGTGTCTCGGACGGTTACATGTATTTTTAGTGTCCCTGAACGCTGTGGTTCACCCCCGTCCACAGCAGTTAGCGTGAGAAGCAGCTTTGCTTCTTTCTCTCGATCTAAAGCACCTGAGAGATACAACTGTGCGTATTTATGACCATTGGGGCTGGACAGGACCTTGATATTAAAATGCGTTGTTGGGTGTAACGTATAGCCATTTAAAGCGTTGATACCCACATCTAGGTCGGATGCACTCACTTGTAACATTTCGGTACCTGGAAGAGCAGATTCTACTATTTCTAAATGCATTTCTTTCTCGTGAAACACGGGTGCATTATCGTTTACATCCAACACTTCCACTACGACGCTGTGCAGTTGCATTGGATTCATCATTATCATTTCAAAATTCAAGCTACAGGGCGATGTCTGCCCACAGAGCTGCTCTCGATCTATTCTTTCTCCCACGACCAGAGTCCCTTTGTCTACATCCAGCCTGATATACTCGCTGCTTTCACCACTAACAATTCGGGCACTGCCTAATTTCAGTCTTTTAGCGTCGATACCCAGATCTTCAGCCACGTTTCCTACAAAGGAGCCTTTTCTCATCTCCTCTGGGACAGAGTAGCGGATCTGGCACACTGTCGCCTCGATGAGAAAAACAAGGATGAAGGCCCGTACTTGCCTTTTACCCGTGTATCCGTTGCTGATAAGAATCATATTCACCAGTCAATCCGCCACAAAAAAGGGTCCAAAACAGTCTGCTTATTATCCCGTATATTTCATCTGCTGACGTGTTTTGTAATCCGCAGTGAGGCAACGACTAAATCAGTCTATAAATCAACCGGGATATTTAAGCACCGAATGTCCTGTTCTCCGCTGTGCACTAAGACGAGGACTGGAGGTGTAGCTGCATTTCAGAGGCTTCACATGTGCTATGAAGGGCAACAGCGGCCCTCAGAGTCTGATATGAAAATAACAAGAGCAGTCACAACAGAAGGGG